TCTCTCTATCTATATACCTATATACCTATATCTATGTGTGTGTGTGTGTGTGTGTGTGTGTGTGTATTGATTTTTAGAGCGAGAGAGGAAGGGAGAGAGAAAGTTAAACATCGATATGAGAAAAGAACATCAATCGGCTGCCTCTTCCACAACCCGTACCAGGGATTGAGTCCGAAACCTGGGCATACACCCTGACTGGGAATCAAACTGGCAACATTTTGGTGCATGGGATGATTCTCATCCAACTGAATCACACTGGCCAGGGGTGAGCACTTCTTTTTATAATTTAGCGTTTTGTAAATACACACACGCATATTTTTTAATCCTCATCTGAGGATATTTTTCCATTTATCTTCAGATAGAGTGGAAGGGAGAGAGAGGGGAAGAGAGAGAGAGAGAGAAATATTGATGTGAGAGAGACACATTGATTGGCTGCCTCCCGCACTACCCTGACCAGAGCCGGGGGCAAACCACATCCAAGGTACATGCCCTTGGCCAGAATTGAACCCCAGACTCTTTGGTCCATGGGCCGACACTCTAACCACTGAGCCAAACTCGCCAGGGCTATACACACATATTTATAACTCTCACATGAAACAAAAATACAAAATGGTGGTCTTTGGAGGTTGTAACTACTAGTCTTTGAATTGTGCTTTTATGTTCTAGGCACTTTTCTTCATGTGTAATATTTCAAAGTTTTAAATTTACTAAAAATTCAGAAAGTGGAAAAGACAAACAAACTTCCTCCCACCTCATCCCACAGCCACTCACTTTTCATCTCAGCCTTTCCTAGTAACATGTTTTATTATGTTCCTGTGTCTTTCCAGCATTTCTTCATGCAAACAAAAGCAAATACAAAGCTAAATACTTATATTTCTCTCTTTTTCACACAAAAGCCTTGCTAATTACACTGGTAGGTGGCACCTTGCTTTTTGTCTATACTTTAGAGACCATCCTGTCAGTACCTTATCTCATCTCCTTGCTTTTTTTTTTTTTTTTTTATCCTCACTTGAGGACATTTCAGCATTTATCCTCAGATAGAGTGGGAGGGAGAGAGGGAGAAAGAGAGAGAGAAACATCGATGTGAGAGAGACACATCGAGTGGTCACCACCCACATGACCCCAACCAGTCCCAGGGACAAACTTAACCGTGGTAAGTGCCCTTAGTGGGAACCAAACTCGGATCTCTCTGGTCCATGTTGTAACCGCTGACCCAAACTGGCCAGGGCTAGTCTCTTTGCTCTTAACAGTTGCCTCATATCCCAAAGTATGAGTAGATCATCACTCACTTAAAGAGTCTCTTGTTGATTCTCACTTGAGTTATGGGTAATCTTTTGCTTCTATAAACAAGGCTGCAATTAATAATCTTGTATTTAAGTATTTTCACATGTCAGCAATTATATATATATAATTGAGCCAAACCAGCCAGGGCTCAGCAATTATATGTTTAGAAAAAATTTCCATTAGCTGCATGACTAGGTCAAAGATTACACTATTATAAGATCCTACCAAATGCCCTCTTAATCAGGTTCTGACATTTGCACCTGCACCAGCTAGTTGTAGATGGAACTTCCTATTTCCCCACAGCCTCTCCAGCACAATTTCACCTGCTTGCTTGACAGAAGAACTGTGGTAACGCCATGTCATTTAAAAAAAATCCTGCCCTGGCCGGTTTGGCTCAGCAGTTAGAGCGTTGGCCTGCGGTCCCGAGAGACCCAGGTTCGGTTCCCGCAAAGGGCACGTACCTTGGTTGCAGTTTGTCCCCGGCCCTGATTGGTCGTGCGGGTGGCAGCCACTCGGTGTGTCCCTTCACATCGATGTTTCTCTCTCTCTGTTCCTCTCTCTCCCTCCCGCTCCATCTGAACAAAAAATGGAAAAATGTCCTCGGGTGAGGGAAAAAAAAAAAAAAAAAATCCTCACCCGACAATATTTTTCTATTTATCTTCAGATAAAGTGGGAGAGAAATATCCATGTGAGAGGGACACATCGACTGGTTATCTCCCGCACGACCCTGACCAGGGCCGGAAAGGGACCACAACAGAGGTATGTGCCTTTGGCTGGAATCAAACCCAAGACTCGCCCTGGCCGGTTTGGTTCAGCGGTTAGAACGTCGGCCTGCGGTCCTGAGAGACCCGGGTTCGGTTCCCGCTAGGGGCGCGTACCTCGGTTGCAGTTTGTCCCCGGCCCTGGTCGGTTGTGCGGGTGGCAGCCGCTCGATGTGTTCCTTTCGCGTCGATGTTTCTCTCTCTCTCTCTGTTCCTCTCTCTCCCTCCCACTCTACCTGAACAAAAAATGGAAAAATGTCCTCGGGTGAGGATAAAAAATAAAAAAAATTAAAAAAAAAACAACCCGAGACTCTTTGGTCCACAGGCCAATGCTCTAACTGCTGAGCCAAACCAGCCAGGGCCTCAATGTCATTTTCTTTTTCTTTATTGATTTTAGAGAGAGAGGAAGGGAGAGGGGAAGAGAAAGAGAAACATCAATGAGAGAGAACATTGATTGGCTACCTCCTACATGCCCCCCACTGGGGATTTGGCTGACAACCTGGGCATGTACCTTGACAAGGAATTGAACCAACGACCTCCTAGTGCATGGGTCAACATTCAACCACCTAGCCACACTGGCTGGGCCCTCCATGTCACTTTTAATGCGTATTTCTCTTACTTCCAGTGGGGTTTGGCATCTAGTCTTCACTTCCACTTTTTTTTGTTGTTGTTGTTGTTGGTAATCCTTATCTCAGATATCATTTCCACTGATTTTTAGATAGAGTGGAAGGTGGGGAGGGGGAAGGAGGGAGGAGAGAAACATCAATGTGAGGAAAACACATCATTTAGTTGCTTCTTGCATGGCCCTGACCAGGGCTGGGGATCGAACCCGAGACCCTTTGGTCTGTGGGCTGACATGCTAACTCCTGAGCCAAACTGGCCAGGGCTTTTAAGATTTTTAAATTGATTTTTAGAGAAAGAGGAGAGGAGAGGGAGTGAGAGAAACATCGATGTGAGATCAGCTGTCTTCTGCAGGCCACTACTGAGTACTGAGCCCACAACCCAGTCATGTGCCCTGACCAGGAATCGAACCAGCACCTTTGGTGCACAGCACAATGCCCAACTGAGCCACACCAGCTAGGGCCACTCTCACCTTCTTGGAACCCTGTCTTCCTATAGCTTTTCTGGCCTCATTCTCCTAATTCTTTAAAGTTTTTTTTCAAGTTCTGGCTGGTTTTGCTCAGTTGGTAGAGCGTCGGCCTGTGGACCAGAGAGTCCTGGGTTCAGTTTCCGCTAAGGGCACGTACCTCGGTTGCAGTTTGTCCCCGGCCCTGGTTGGGGTTGTGTGGGTGGCAACCAGTCAATGTGTCTCTCTCACGTTGATGTTTCTCTCTTTCTCTTCCTCCCTCTCTCTTCCTCCTGCTCTATCTGAAGATAAAATGCAAAAAATGTCCTCGGGTGAGGATTAAAAAAAAAAGTTAAAAAAAAATTTTTTTTTCAGTTTATACAAATAAGAATAATATGATGATGATGATGAACAGCTAACATTAATGGATCAGGTGCTAATGTGTGCCTGGTGTTTGGTAAGCTCTACGCTGTCACTACATCATTTGAGCCTCTCAGTACAATGAGGTGAGTATTATTTTCATCCCCATTTTATGAAGAAAAAGGCAGTCATTTACTGGCTTGCTCATGGTAACATGGCTAGTATTCAAGGAACGGGAATTGAAATCTAGTCCTGTGTGTGTCCTGTAAAGCCACCCTCTTATGCAACTTCTTTTCATGAAAGAGAAGGCAGTATTAGGGATTCCAGCACAGGGAAGGGATGGAAAGGTTACAGCCAGGAAAACCTGAGAGGGAGGATTCAGGCTCTGACACTCAGAAGCTAGGGGACTTTAGTCTAATGATTGCCACTGAGTCTCAGTTCCTTCATCTTTAAATGGGGGCAGAAGGTCATTATGAAGTAAGCAGGGCTTGCTACACAGTAAATGCCCAGTTACATGCATGAATATACATGCAATAAATATTATGGAGCACCCACTCTGTGTCAGGCACTGTTCTCACTGCCTGTAACATAGCAGTGAACAAGCAGACAAAAACTCGTGCTCTGGATGGGCAAATAAGAAAAATTAGTAATGCATATCATGTCTCGGGTGATAAGAATGGAAGAATAAAGAGGGCAGTGAAGTGAGAAAAGGAATTGGAAGGTGACTATTTTAAGTAGGGTGGTCAGGATCAGACTCACTGAGGTGACATTTGAGTTAAGGCCTGAAAGACACGAGGAGCCATGACGGGAACTGAGAGCATTTCACACAGTGGAAACAATGAGAGCAAAGGTCCAGAGGTGGGAATGTGCCTGGATAGTTTGTGATGCAGCAGGGAGGTTAGTGTGGCTGGAGGGAGTGAGGGAAGGAGGGGAAGTTGAGGGGTGGACATCAAACAACAGGTCCCACAAGTCCTCTAGTTTTCAGTGAGAATTTTGGCTCTCATTTGAGCTAGATGGGAGGGTGGGGCGTGGAGCAAAGTGATCTCTTTCTATCATTAAAAGGTAAAGTAGGGGTCGCCCTAGCCAGTTTGGCTCAGCGCTTAGAGCGTCAGCCTGTGGACCAGAGAGTCCCCGGTTCGGTTCCCACTAAGGGCACGCACCTCGGTTGCAGTTTGTCCCCGGCCCGTCAGGGTGGCAACCAGTCGATGTGTCTCTCTCACATGGATGTTTCTCTTTCTCTCTTCCTCCTTCTCTCCCTCCAGCACTATCTGAAGATAAATGCAAATATGTCCTCGAGTAAGGATAAAAAAATAAAAGGTAAATAGGGAGTGGAAGTGGGGGTGCAGCCGAGGTTCAGCGGCATGCAGGTTTCTGCTCTGCTCAGTAGGGAGGGCTGGGGGCACCATGATGTCTCTCCCCTTGAGGAGGTGCCTGGAAGTCTTCAGCACTATGGACAGCGCCCCGCACGTGGCCTAGAGACCAGGGAAACGGCTGCTCTGGGGGTGGAGCCTGCGAAGGCATCCTATTATCATGGCCCTTAAGGAAGCTGCAGCTGCTTCCACATAGCTGCTGGGGTCACAAAGGAGCCTAGAGCGAGTTTTCCTTGACGGTGGCCCGTCTCTTTGCTGTAACTGATCTGCAGCAGTTCGGCTAAAGATTGTCTAAAAAAAAAAAAAAAAAGCAGCGTGCTGAGCACCCTATGGGAGCATGGGAGGGGCGGGTTCTGCCAAAGGGGTACTATTAGAAGTGTTTGCATCGCCCAGCTGGTGTGGCTCAGTGGATTAAGCGCCCGGTTAGATTCCAGGTCAGGGCACATGGCCAGGTTGCGAGCTCAATCCCCAGTAAGGGGTGTGCAGGAGGCAACCTATTGATGTTTCTCTGTCACATCAATGTTTCTCTCTCTCCCACTCTCTCTCAAAAAAACCAGCTGGTGTGGCTCAGTGGTTGAGCATCGACCCATGCACCAAGAGGTCCCTGTTTGATTCCTGGTCAGAGCACATGCCCAGGTTGTGGGCCCAATCCCCAGTGGGGGGGCATGCAGGAGGCAGCCAATCAATGTTCTCTCTCTCTAAAATCAATAAAGAAAAAAACATTTTTTATTTTAAGTGTTTGCAATGACAAGATGGTGGGGGCGAAGTCACTGGGCAGGGCCTCTACTGGGCAGAGCCTGTTATATACTTGTATTAGGAGCAGGGCCTGTTGACTGGGCATGGAATTGGCAGGCGGCATACACCTGGTGGGTCTAGGGGCAAACTTGAGGTGGTTTGGAAAGTGCAGTGTTTGCAGAAGCTGGGATACGGCTGGTTTCCGTGCCCCTCAAATGGAGGCACCTGCATCATTCCAGGTGTGTAACCGGGTTCGGGGGCCCTCAGTAGATTCCCCAAATTTCTTCCCAGGGACTGCTGCAGCTTCCCAAGGGAGTCCCTCAAATTGGGTATGAGGTGGTTGGACTTAAGGAACAGGAGTTGGATTTCTGGGCAAGGAAAGGGAATCACTGAACTCCGAAGAGGTGGGCATTTCAAACACCTCTAATGTTGAAATAGGGTTCTCTGGAGCCTGGAGGGTTTCTTTGGCTTATCCATCTAGGTATGGAGGCACTCCTATGGTATTTTTGCCCCACCCCAGCTGCCAAGAGGCTGAGTTTAGCCGTCAGCTTCTTGAGAGACAATGGGAAAATCAGACAGAACTTGTGAACTCTGGGTAAATGACCTCCATGGCCACTCCCCTAGTCATGCCATCTATTTCCCCTCTGCTGAGACTACCTGTGAGCCTAGGCTCCTCCCCTTCTTGTATCCTGAGGCAAGGCAATGCCTCCTTGCTGGGACAGTCTGCTGGCCGGGGCATTGTTTTTACCAATCTTGGGTCTGTGAGCGCTTACTCTGACACTTTAGTCCCCTGAATCTCATAGCTTGTATGTTGCAGAAATCAAGCCTTGCTGCTGGTCTGTTTCCATCATTCTCACCTCTCCCATACACCTATTCTCTGCCCAACAGCCAAAAGGACTGTTCTGAAGCACAACTCAGCCTTGGTCTCCCCAGTTCAGAATCCTCCCAATTACCCTCAGAATAAAGGTGAAAATTCCTCTAGCTGTTGTCAAGGCATTGTAGTGGATGCCCCTTGTCGACAGACACGTTTCTCCCCTTTTGCAACAAAGAGCTTCACCTACCCAACTTCAGCTTCGTTGTCTATTCCCATCTCCCAGCTGAATTTTTGTGCATGCTGTTGCCTCTGTAGGGCATACTCTTCTCTTACCCTCGCTAACACACCCCTGGGTCTCAGTTCAAGCACCCCGTCTCACTTGAAACACAGAAAGCCTTCCCTGACACTCCCTGCCCAGTTGGGACAGGGGCCACTTGGTGTCCAAGAAACTCCATGAGTGCAGGGACCAAGTCAACTTCCAGTGCAGAAGTAATATATAAACTAACACCCAAGAAATACATGTTGAGTGAACGAAACAATAAACATAGAAGTTTCCATTTATTCCAGAATGGGTTAGAACGAGCATCTGGGCCAAAAAGGCTTGCCGCAAAGGGCACACTGCCAGCATAGGGCTTACACCTAGAGACTGAATCCTCCGCTGACAGCCCAGCTGCACCGGGCCAGGCCTCAGGGGCTGGGCAGCACAGGCCCTGCTGACTACACAAGAACGGTCAATGATCCAAGGGAAAGTGAATGCTCTGCCAGGGTAGTTGGGCAGCTAGATGGTAACTTCCAGATCAGACTGGACCCCAGCCCAGAGGAACAGGAGCCCCAGCGACTACCAATCTAGAGAGCTGGAAATTCTGGATCTGTGTACCATTATTGGTCTTAGGTTGCCAACCCCCAACAATTCCCACCCTCATTAGTCCAAATTCCTGGAAAGGCCCTGCCCCTCCCTCAAAAGTCATCTTGGCCCACCACACCCATGTCCAGTCAGTGGTTTGGTCTCCTTGCCTTCCTTCCCTCCAAAGGCATCCTGAGCCCTCTGGAGTCTTGTGTCCAGTCCCAGATCATTGATGCCTGCCTCCTCCTCGGCCTATCCACCAAGTACCCTATCTTGATCAACTTGCTGAGTAAACGCATGAACTGCTGGTCCTTTCTGCTCATGTTCCTGGTGATCTCTGCTGGTCACCGCAAGACACATGACACTGTCCTCCAGCAACTTAAGGGCCAATGTATCTCCAGCATAAGCCAACTGTTGCTCACTATGGCCCTAGCTGAGGTGAAGCAGCAGCTCAATGAGGCCCCCTCCAGTCTGGCTTCCTGGGCTTGGAGAGCAACAGACCTGGGAAGGCCTTGGTCAGCTTTGAATGGATGATGCACCAGCAACAATGCCTTTTCCATGCTCAAAGTGGCAGGCACATCTTTCTGAATGCAGCTTCTTGGAGTAGCAGGTCCTGAAAGTTGGGATACTACAGTTGGCCAACTATACCAATGAGGTCCCCAAGCAACATTTAAGGTGCCAGGGGATCTGTGCTCATGAGCTGTCTGTCTCCTCAGCATAGGTACCCACTGTGCTGCAAAGATGCTGCTGGCTCTGTGTTGTCCAGACCTGACCATGGTGATCCTGGCTGTGGCTGAAACTCCCAGGGCTGTAACAACAGCCCAGTGGGTGAAACTTTCACCCAACCCTGTGGGCTGAATGGTGTCTCCCAAAAGTTATGTCCACATCCTAATCACTGATGTCTGTGAATATGACTGTACTTGTAAATAGGGTCTCTGCAGATATAAAGATCCTGAAATGAGCTCATCCGGGATTAGGGTGGGCCCCAATTCCAATGATTCATGTCTTTATGAGGAGGAAGATTTCATATTCAGGAATAAGTGTGGTGGTGATCGCTGTTTGGGAAACTGATGGTGAGGAGAGCCTGTGTTGATAAGGCAGGTCCAGAGTTCGAAGGCATTTGGCAGGCAGAGCCAGGGTGCTCCTCCCTGTGGACTTCTGAGTGATGCAGACTCTGTTCAAATCCTGTCTCCTGTTATCACAAACACAAGGTCCCAATGATCTCACATGGGTCTTTTCCCCCAGCCCCTGCATGTCTGGGAGAGGAGCTTGGGTAGATACCCATCCCTCAGGTCTGTCTCCTCTCTCCACTTGTGCACATACTCGAGGGATCCCAAGGCACTTCAAGCTGACCCAAATGTTCACACTGTGGGCCACCTCTTAAATGGACTTCACAGGGCCCCTCTCCCTGGGCTGGACCACTTGGTATCTAGGACCTCCTCTGCTGCAGCAGAAAACAAAAAAATTTCCAATGTTTTCTTTTTAGTGCAGAACACCTTTATTTCACCTCTCCGAGAAAGCAAGTCTTCATCCTTTGAAGGCACACTGGAGTTTCTGCCTCAGCCGAGTGATCCTGCATCAAGAATGGTCTGCACTTCTCCCAGTAGCCATGGCTGACCAGCACAGGAGGCCAAAAGGCTGCCTGGGGCTTAGACTATGAACAGTGCCTGGTCTGAGAGGGTGAAGAGGCAGCAAGTCAACAGGGGTCCCTGCAGAGGGGCAGTCCAAGCCTTGTCAGCCCACAGGGTTCTTCCTATAGAGGCCACCCCCTGGGGCAGGACCAGAGTTGAGAAGGGCTGCTTGGAGATGGGTTCCTCCATCTCTGCAATGCTGATATATAAGTGTAGAATGTTTTACAGCATCCTTGGCTTCTACCCACTATGTGTCAAATGTCTCTGAAGCACTATAAGATCGCCCAGGATTGAGAAACAGTGCTCCAGAGAAACCTGCTGCAAAGAAGCCCACCAGCGCACTGTGTAAAATTCTGGGTAGAGGAGGCACCAGGGACCAAGGCTGTGCTTGCGGCTGCCACAGTGTGCCACCTCAACATACATGGTTCCATGGCTGAAGTTTACTGTATCTTGGGTGCCTCAGCCAGATTTCAACCAGGCTTTTTCAAATTAGGTTCTACATACCAAATTTAATCCGCGGTGACTTCAAATTGCACTTACACTACACCCAGAATTCATGGAGCATAACACAAAGCATGCTGAATTATGGGAGCAAACTTCACATAGCAGTGTGGGCCACTAGGCTGCTATGCAGACACTAGGGGCTGTGGAGCTTGCTGGGACACAGGGACTACTACAAGATTCCATGTAAATGACTGCTGGCCCTGGCCCCTCTCTGGTGAACAGGGACCATTCTGCCACCCGCACCCTACTTTCCGGTGCTGGGAACAGAGTGGGGGAATCTACCCATTGCACTCCTGGAGGGTCAGACACCCAGGCCTACGATGGCGCGGTTTTCTTTCTTTTTCTTTATTTGTCTATATTCAGCTGAATTCAAATGTACTGCCTGAATGATCCAGACATACAAAAAACCCCCCCACTCTTTCCCACTGGTTTTTAAAATAAAATATTCACTTAAAAAACTGAAACACTAAAGCATTAAAATACAGAAAGCTCGTTTAACTCACTTCACAAAAGCATTAACAGATGAGGTATCCCTTCTGTAACTATTTCAAGACAAACTGAGTTAACACTAACACCAATTGTAAATAGACAGAGGGATACTGAACTGTAAGAACTCAGAAAACTCTACTCGGACAAAGTTGTAATGGCAACTAACAAACCACTGAAGACGTGGAGTCCCAAACACGGCTAAATATGGGTCACAGAACGGGTCACAGAGTGACCAGCTGCACCTCACAACACAGCAACGTGGACGGGGTAGGGCAAGAGGACCCAGAGGGGCCGCAGACATGTTAACTGTGATGCATAAAACTGAATCTTACAACGAGGAGGGGTAAGTGCAGAAGGTACAAATCTTCACCCTCAGGGCTTTATCTGTACTGGTAGTTCATGCTGTGGTCTGCGTTCCTGCCGTAGCCTCCCTGTGATGATTGATAAGAGCTGGGAGGGCCGCTGTAATTCTGGCTGGACCCGGGGGAGTTGTAGTTCGACTGTGATGAGTAGCCTCCTGAGGGAAAGAGGGAGTGGGGATCAGCCCAGTCATAGAGGTGTCATCAGTGGGAATCTCTAACTGGGGCTATCTGAGCACCAGGCTCTGTTTGGCTCTCAGTATCGCCAGCATTTCTTCATATAGGTGCCAACATTTAAAGTAGGGCAATTTCTGGCTAAAAAGCCAAGAAACTAGAGGTGTGCCTAAGTCAGTGCTTGTACAAGGCCCCATGTGCCCCCATCTCCTGCTTCCTGCTCTTGCCCCACACAGAAGCCAAGAGGCAGCTGCCATGGTGGCCCTGCCCAGGCCGCAGCCTTCCTCAAAGCCTCTGTGTGGCTCAGGAAGCCCCCTCCCCCCATGCTGTGCCACCTGCTGCTCCAGGCCCACCTTGTTTGCCTTGGTAGGAGGAGCTGCCCCCAGAACCTCCTCCGTAGCCCCCATGTGACCCTGGGTTGTAGGACGACCCGCCTGAACCGTAGCTGTTCCCGCCGCTTCGGCCTCCGCTACCACTGTAGTCTGGGGGAAGAGAAGACATTGTGGTTAAGGGGCCTTGTGTTGCAGCCCTGATGTGGCCAACCCTTGGCCAAGACCCTGGACCTTTGCAAATTTCCCTGTCTTTTGACTGCTTCAATTTAGCACAGGTCAGCCCCACCACAAACTGCCAGGGGCTAGGTAGAGTCCTAAAATAGGGTCACAATGCTGTGGATTGTCCTGATCACCATATTCTGAAGCAAAGTTTCATCCCATCTTCCCCTCCAACCTAAGGTTCCCTGCAGTTCAGGAACTGCTGAGCTAGCCCAAGTCCCAGCCCTTGCTACTAAGTGTCCCATCATAAACCATCATACTCCTACCCTACCCCAATTGGTACATAGGCACACTGCAGCCCAACAGTTGTGTGTGTGAGGTGGAGCAGGAAGTAATTCAGGCTCTTTTAGGGGATGGATGCACCTGGTCTCCAGAGGTCACCTTGCAGTGGCTGGCCCAGACTCGGACTCCACCCTTATGCCCCAGCCTCAACCCACAGCCTCAGGGGCCTTAGCCTGGAGGCCTCTGCCTCCAAATTCCTTCCAGTCCCTCAGCCTGAGGTGGAACAGTGTTGAGCTTCTGGGGGGACTGGATGCCAACTCACTGAATTTGCTCTCGTAGCTGTAGTCGGAGCCTCCCCCGCCCCCGGGGGAGCTGTAGGAGTTGGAGTAGGAGTAGTTGCTGCCTTGGCCATGACTATAGCCTTTCTGTTTGCCCTGCGGGGGGCCATAGTTGCTGTACTGGCTCTGGTTGTAGGATTGCTGCTGGCCGGGGTGGGACTGGTAGCCTGAGCTGTAGGAGGGCTTCTGTTGGCCCCCATGCGGCTGCTTCTTTCCGGCATGTTTCGGGGGCACTGGGGAGTTGTAGTTGTCACCTTGGTAGTAGGAGCTGTAGCTTGAGGAGCCACCACCGCCCCCGCCGCCGCCACCGCCAGCATTCCCAGAATGCCCTCCATTGCTGTAGAACTGACCTAAACAGGAAGGCATCTGATCAGGTGGAAGCTCAGGAAGATGGAATTGGGGGGCGTGGGGTATGAAGGGAGGGAAGATCGTAGCTGTGGGTCCTGAAGGCTGACCCACGAGCCTGCTGCCCAGGCGCGGGCAGAGTGAAAGAGACGGGAGAGAAAGGAGCAGCAGCTCCGGTCCCTAAAGCAGCCTGATCTGGGCTGGCCCAGCCTTCAGCTCCACTCACCCATTAGCTGATGATAACAATGGATCTTTGCCAAGCAGCGGCACGGCAGTACGCACGCCGAGAGCAGCTTTTGCAGCAGATGTCAACGTTACAATGAGATGGGCTCCGAGCGCAGGATGACATTCACAACTAGCTGATCACTACCCAGATGTCCCCAACAATGACAGGAAAAGCAAAGCCCCAGAGAAGCAGCAAGCCCTCCCCCGCTGTGCTGGGAAGAGGCTTGGCAGTCAGGGCTTGGGTGGCCCTAGGAAATGCTCTCTAATGAGGTCCCTGACATTGGTGTCATTCCTGGAAGACCAACTTGTCTGACCCGGTTCTTGGAGCACCAGAAATAAAGACTTAAGCCAAGACTTCTCCCTGATGGGATTTATGCGAACACATGCCTTAAAGAGCAATTCCCAGCCTCCTGGGGAAAGACTAAGGCTGGGATCAGAAGATTCGGGTGGTCCCCAGAGGCCCCTCCTTATTCCCAGCACAGCTGCTGGGCTCAGGCAGAACTAAGCAGCAGGACTGACAAGCGTGCAGCAAGCTGCCACATTCTCAGGCTCTAGGGCTGAGAATGTCACGAACAGCTCCCCCCACCTTCTGGTCATTAGGTAAGGACCCCCAGAACACTGGCTTGTCAAGATATTGCTCCCATCAGACACTCAGGTGGACCTGTGGGAGATGGTCAACTAAGGTGATGGGGGTGGGGGAGGATGGGTCCTGTGGGTAGCTGTCCATCCTGGCAGGGCCGTGGAGCTCCTGGGCTCCTACAGCAAGTAGGCCTGGGCACACCTTTGCTGGCTGGCTCTGCCTCTGTCCACAGACGGTTGAGGCCAGTGCCTGGTCAGCCTGGCTATGCCCAGTGTGGGTAGAAGAGGGAGGAGACGCTGCCACACAGCCTGTCTTTTCCTTCCCATGTTTAGCACCAAGGGACCCTTGCCTTTTGGGTGACTTTGGGAGTTCCCATGAGCCTTCCATCCACTGAAGATGTGTACCCCACAGTGGTGTGCCTTAGGTTGTTTGAACAATAATTTGGATAGAACTGCTCTCCGCCATGGGTTTATTTTCTTCAGGCAGGCAGTCTCCATCCTACACCAACCCCTCCAAAGCCAAGGACAAGATGTGTCCCACAATACAAGAGAGTAACCATGAGGAGGCCAGGACAGGAGGTCCTCTTCGGGCCCCCTCTTAGAACTCGGCCACATCAGCTGACCCTTGGCCTGCACTGAGCACCTGCCTCCTCACCCCTCCACAAACACGGGAATGAATGAAGACGCCAAGTAGTTAGGGCTTATTACTTTAACATGTATTGATTAAAAAAAAAATAAAGGGGAGGGGAAGTTTTCAACGTCATTCAGGATAACTATTTCCTGGTATAAAAAGACATTATTCTCAAACAATAACTTTCTAAAAAAAAAATACATCATGCAATCAAAGTTTTAAAAAGTTTCACTGAATATTTCAAACCTCTGGGAACAAATTATGTAGTAACCGTTTTTGCCTGAATAAACGCAAAATCTTGCAAGTCAACGCAGAGGCAGGTTTTGTTGCAGAAAGAACTGATGACCCGAGCCAAAACCAGACTTGTTTCCAGGGATTCCCACCAGGATACAGGGGTCTGAGTAAAGAGCCCAATCGCCTCCTCTGCACACAGGGAGAAGTCACAACCTCAAGCCTGTACCCTAAGGAGAGAGGGCGGAAGTTTCCAGGATTGCTGAAATCTGCCACAGCTGTGTGCCCAGAAGTAGTACAGGCCCTGCTGAGGCAAGTTATTCACTGGAGAATTGCGCTACATATTAGGCTCTTCCCACTTGATTATTTTTAAAGCCCCATTTTTAAAAATTCTAGAATTCCATGCATTTGCAGCTGTAATCAGGACTTGCAAAATTCTGCATTATCACTCACTTAAGCCTGTCTATTTCTTGCACTAAATGATGGAAGCAGTTTTGATACCTTTGAGAGTTCACCTCTAGCTAAACCAGCCACAGAATGTTGCATCCCCAAACACAAACCCACCAGAGCATTTACAAGAGGCAGGAAAGGTTAACTTAGCACAATATACAATTCCCCAATGTTACCAACGTTTTACATGCTTTTATATATATATATATAAAAAAAAAAAAAAAAGGCAGCTGGTTGCTCTGGATTCGGATGTGGTGAAATAGTTTTCATCACTGTCAAAGGCATCAACCAGATTTAGGAATTTGTTAAAAGGTTAAAAATTCATACAAAACCTGCTGTAAATTAAGACAAAGGTAGATTAAAATGCATCATTATCTGTCTCTTAAATAAAGTAATGCTTTCCATAAAAAGCAAAGGTGGGCTTTGCCTTGATGCTGACCAACGCTGGCTCTAGAATTCTGTGCAATTCTGCACAAAAATATGCATTCTCTGAAAATTGTTTTCCACTTATTGTGAACTTCAATATGACCAAGTTCAAAGGCAAATCACGATAAAAACTGCCATTGTCTTAAATTCTGCAGGCTAAGTTTCAGACAAGCTGCGGTGACAAGCCACGGTTGAGAAACCCAGTGAAGCACAGGGGCACAGCACGGACACTTTAGGTTTTGGAGTTCGAGAAAATTGGAGTAAAAAGTTGATTTTTTGTGCAATACTTTTAGATGCTCTAGGAAGACCCAAAATCATGATAGCCGTAGCAGTCTGTGAAAAAGTCACCTACAAAAGGGGGAGACAGAGCAGAGAAAAAAAATTAGAATTCTTTTGAAAAATGGCACAGAGCGCCACATTTGAAATTCAAGTTTTAGATTTCTCTGCTCCTGTAACCCCCCAATGAAGGCTCCTTCTCAAGACAAGAGCTGTGCACTGTCAGAAAAAGCATATCACAGGATTGGTGCTTCGTTCACATGGCTTAAAGCAGAGAAATTTAAAATTTTTACTTTTACGGTACTTTCAAGTCACACAAGTGTGTGTGTTAACATTTACAGAGTAAATCATACTTTTGCAGGATGGGGAGGGTGGGGGGCCTTGGACCGCCTGAGCTAATCACTGAGAATAGGTGTGGGCAACTCTGAAGTCTTAGGGAAGCTGCTGCTGGCAGGCCACCCTGCTCTAACTCAGGAACAGGAACTACACTGCATCTTCTTCCCAAAATCAGACCAAGAGAAATACACACTTACTGTAGCCAGCTGTCGCCGAGTTGCCTCCATACCCATAGCTGCCATATCCAGCGCCTGGAAGGAAACCAATAAGGTTATCAGGGCTGGAGGTGGATCTCCCCTGCATCCGCCTCTCCCAGCATCTCAGTTCAACCTCAGGGGCCCCACATACCCCAGAGAACAAGATAGGCCCACTGGGAATATGACAAGGTTCCTCACCAGCATTCATGTAACCTCCGTGGTTGGCACCACCAAATCCTCGCCCTCTTCCTCGACCACGGATGTTCCCTCCTCTTCCCCGCCCTCGAAGATTTGGGGGCGGGGGCACTTCGTTGTGCATGGGGCCTCCCATGCCAAAGCCAGGATTGTGCGGCTGAACAGGAGAGAACAGACAAGTTACATTCGCTTCATGCTCAGTTCACAGAATTCAAGCTGAGCTCAAGAGATCTCAGGGGCAGCCGATTACCTTAGCAGCAAATTTCGGTCCACCTCTGACAGGCACAGGTGCTCTCTTCTTCTTATTGGCTTCAAGGGCAAGAGGGGCATCAGGGAACAGTTTCTCTAGTGCAGCAAGAGCAGCATATGCTTTTGCCACCTTTTTGTTTGAGCCAGCACCTTGAAACTTCTGTCCATCTACCTCGACCTGAGAAGAACAGACACGTGTCAGGAGAGATCCAAAGCCTCCCACCAGGGCAGGGGGACTCTACATCCCCCAAAGATTCCAGGCCTCCATAGGAACTGCTTCAGAACCACTTACCTCCATGACAAAGCGCTTGTCATGGCTCCCACCAGTCTCTGAGATGAGCTCATACTTGAGGCCACGCCTCTTCTCATTAAGCTCCATGACAGGGTTCTTGCCATGCTTGGTCAGGATTGGCCCCTGCTGTTTTATATTCTCAGGGAAAACAGAAAAACAAACAAAAAAAACAAACCCCAACACATTCAGCTAAGGGCTGTCCAGCACATGGAGGACAGCTACTCTCTACGTAACCCACACCACCCTCACACATGAAAGTCATCTATGAGCCTCCCAGCAATAAGATGATTTTCCACGTGTACCCTGTTCCTCCGGGAAATGGCCTGTCATTGACCTAGGGCCAACCCAATACATCCCTGAGTGCTGGGTTAACATCAGCAAAGTATTCTCAGTAGTGGCTCAAAGGCTCATACCCAGCTCCCCCTACAGGGTTCCAGACTGGAAGATGACTCCTTTGGTGGGGAAAGTCACAGGACCAGCAACCATCTGGGCTCACAGGATACAAGGCTGTCTGCTCTACACTTGTCGGGCCCTCCAATGCACATCATGGGCTCACCTCAGCAGTGGGATCCGAGGTAAAGGCAGCACTGGGGGTCGAAGCAGCTTCTACCACAGGTGGAGGGGCCACAACGGCTGGCTTGGCCTCAGTCTCCTCAGCCGAGTCCTCCCCTTTACTAGAGTCTCTGCCTTCAGCTCCCGTAGGCAAGCCCATGTCCTGTAACACCTGAGATGGAGACCCACAAGGCCCCCAGTGAGGGAGGGGATGCAGAATTGGGGCATCCTGAATCATATCACTCCTGAATCCTGAATCACTCCTAGGGTGGCATCCAGAAATCTGGAGGGTGTTTTTTCCTTTAGCTCCTTACATGCCCAGCCTTGCGTGGACACCCTCTGCCTGTCAGCCATGATGACAAAGGAATTCTTGCCACATATGATTTGACAAACATTAGAAAATCTAACCATTTGTATTTGCATGCCCTCCCTAAGGCCCATGATGGACTTAAATAGCAGACAATGGCTCTGAAAAAGCCCCAGATGAAAAAGTGCTTTTGCTGTCTGAAGGAAAGGCATGGGCTGGATGAAGCCACCAGCTACCCTACCTTAACAGCCACATGCAGCTTGGCAGTCTTTTTGGATGGTCCGGAGGCCTCGAATGAGCTGCCATCTACTTCCACAGACATGGTGAAGATGGGGGCGTGGACCGGTCCCGCCTGGGAAACCAGTTTATACTGCAGCCCGGGCTTCAGCTGGTTCAGCCTCATCAAGGCATTCATAGCCTGGGGAGGCTCTGCCTTCTCCTCTAGAGAAAGACCACCAATAACACTCTGGAACATCAGTCAATTCTGAACTGGGGAGGGGGTTTCTTCTGATGGCTTTTGTCCTGGGACACAATGAATTGGGCAGTCACACATTCCAAGGTCTTGTCTATGATGAGCCCAGGTATACACCACTTCTGGGGTCACCAGTTGAGGCACATCCACCCGACTTATGTTGTTTCCATATTATACACTTAATCACTTTAAGAACAACTTAAATATAATATCTAACAATAAGGCATCTTCCTATTTTGCAGTTAACCTGAAGACAGATGGAGGATAAAAAAGGCCCAGGAATGAATGTCTATACCTTTCTTCTGAATCTTCTTCTTCTTTTTGCTGGGAGACTTTTCCTCCCCATCCTCCTCCATTGGGCGTTTCATTGGCGTAATGGCATAGGTGGTACTGGGGGGGATTTGAACTGAAAGAAAAGATTAGGACAGAAGTAGCTAAGAGTCCAGTCTGGTGCTCTGTGGAGAGTCCATAAGGCCACTAATCAACCAGGAACCCTTGGCATACTTACCTGTGTAGTCCACTGGGTTTTCATTCTTTGGTTTCTTGGGCATCTTAGAAGGCAGAGGGTCCATACCTAGGACTTTATGCAGTTGGCCAAATGCAGCAAGTCGCAGAGCATGCTAGAAAAGGGGAAGAGGAACAGGAACCTAACTCAGCCGCCCTGTGCTCCTGGCCAAAGTGTGTATGCTTGCTAATGCCTTCTGGATGGGGCAGGAACTGCTGGAGTTGCTAATGGTTTCCCCTACAACAGCAAGGGGCCCCCCAACAGCCAGGGGAGGGCCTGACTGCTAGGACACAGTCTTGCTGCGGGGAAAGGCCAGCCTGTGACCACCCGCCTCAAGAGGAATACAGGAGACCCCAACCTGGGGACTGGTTGCCACACGGAGCCACGTGGTGGGCCTGCAAGGGAAGGACCCCTGGAACAATCTAAATAGCAAATACATCTCCCCGCTGAACTCGGTGTCTGAAAACAACACTCGAGCAGGCTGAGGGGCAAGCTACAACCACGCGTGGCGCCAGGGGGAAAGAAGCAGCCCAGATTGGGGCGCCCTGTATCAGGCACAATCCCTTCGCCTTCAGTCCCCAACCTGAGCCTAAGAGTCCAGTGGCGACCCTGAGAATACCCAGTAATGGAACTAGAAGCCAGTGATTACAGACTGGGTAAGGGCTCACGGTGGCAATGGCGATGACTATACCTGCGCACTCTGTGTGATATCTTCCCGTTGCTGTCTGTCTAGATGCCCAATAGCATCAGTGGCTTCTTTTTCACAAGGGTCATAAATGCCAGAACCATCTGAAGGCAGGAAACAAGGAAGATATGCAGAGGATTATCTTTTAGCATCTCGGAAGAGTTGTACTGACTGAGGGAACCAGATGCGTTACCCCCCGCGCCTCATCCACACCCAGCTCTGGAAAACACGCTGAGCTCGGTGACCCACTCAGCATCCAGCCCATGAGAAAAATAATCCACATGTGTCTCAGAGCAAGGAGCTCACATGGGAGTGGGTCACCACTGCCCTGGATCCGCCCTGAGTCACAGCTGCGGAGCCGGCACAGGGCTGGATATGATGGTGCAAGAGGGTAGTCACATGCTTTAGCCCTAGGGGGACATGGGGCTGCTGCTGCCCTAACCCGGTCAGGGGACCCGCCAGGAAGTGGCCTTAGGGCCTTGATCACTGTCCTTTCCCTGCAACTTGCAAAGCACAAGGCCCCAACCTGGCATCACGATGCCTGACGCCAGGCACTCCAGCACTCTCCGCAGGGCCTCGCCAGCACCCATGGGTCTGTTGGCTGTGCCGATGGACTTCTCACAGAGAAGCTCAAGGGGCTGAAAGGCAAGAAAGACAGTTAGCCAATGTCCAGGAGGGAGTTGGCTGATGCTGAAGGGCTGTCACTGTGTATGTGTGAGGAGGGGGTGGCACGGAAAGTCACAATTGTCCGAGTTCCTAAGTCGGAGCTAAGCCAAAGAGAGAACACCTAGAGCTGGGCTCAGCCAATTTCTCCTTAAAGGGCCAGACATTCAATCTTTTCAGCCACATTGGCCAGGAGGCCAATTTGAAGCTATTATGTAGGTGCTTATATTCAAAAACACAAAAACCATTCTTAACTATATACTATAGGAAAACAAGTAGCTGACCAGAATCGGCCTGTATGCCTATCTGCTGACTGCTGGCCAAGAGCAGCTACAAAGGTTGCAAAAAATATAGAGCATGTCACAGTATGTGTGCTGCCTGGCCAGCCCCATTCCTAGGTTGGGCTGTGTACCTGCCATAAGGAAGAGGAGAGCCTGGTCTCACTTTCACCTTCCACCCAGGCTGTGGCACACAGTATTTGCTCAACAAGGACCTATGTTGGGGACACATCAGCCACACCCCCAAAGGTCCAGTTTAGCCCAGTTACCAGAAGATATTTCTGGGCTATGGAAGGTCTCTGCACACACACTCCCAGGGTGGCAATAGCTAGAAGGTGCCTTACCCATCCTCTTAGAGGACCCCAGGTGGGCACACGGGTGCACAGATCCCTCAGAACCCGAATGACAATAACACAAGACTTCAGCCCATTGGCTCTGGCCTAGAGGAACAAAGCACAGGCTCTTTACACCAAAGCACTTCCTGAAACACAAGGCAAACATGAATAACACAAATCTCAGGGTGCTACTTTGTCCAGGGTAAAGGGTGAACATTCATAACCATCAAGTGTGTGGTTGGCAGTGATGCCACCGTGTGGACGACATTAATGTTACTCTTGGCACAAAGCAGCAGCAATACACCTACTCAGTCACAAGCCTCCTTTGGGGGGGGTGTCAAATTTGTTTATGCGTGCTGCCTTAGCAACTGCACACCTGCAGGTGCTAACCTTGGCATGGCGCTGTTCAGTATTACCAAAACTTTATGGTGCAAGTTAGCCAAGTTAAAACTTAGAAATTCTCTACCAAAAGACAAATAGAAGAACAAAATGCAAACCTGGAACCACTTGGCGTGTCGGAGGGACGCCAAGGCAGCAAGGCATTTCTGCCTGTCCAGGACGTCCGGGGGATCGTTGACTGATAGCGTTTCTATTCATGGATGGAATAAGAAGACAAGGTACAGTTTGACCAAGGGGTTTCTGTCATGTGGAAAGGGGATATGGCAGATTCCTAAAGGGCAGTGGAGCCTCCCAGAATTTCATGTCATCTCTACCCTGGACCAGGGAAGGAGAAGCCAGAGCGCATTAACTCTGCCCAGAAAGAAAACTGCAAAAATTGGAGGCCCTTCCAAAAAACAAAAATGAAAACACAAGTGGAAAGTTACTCTACAAGGGATAATCAATCCCATAGGGGAGGGAATTGATAGGTAGGTCCTATCTTCTAGCAGACTGTTACCATGCTTCTTCCCCATCATCTCCCAATAAATTAGCTGTGCTAAAATTTCAATAAAGGGGAAAAAAATAAGCCCAGAAAAAAACAAAAACAAAAAAATGGTGGGGGGAGTGGAAATGAACTCCCTCTCTGCTTCTCACAACAGCCATCCCAAGGCATCTTCTGCAAAGGGGACCACCTCCGCCCACCAGGCAGGACTGCCCTAGCCCCAGCCCTTGACAGAGAGAGTCCTGTTGGTCAAAGGTCCAGCGTCCCTAAATTGATAAACTAGAAGGGCTCTGGTAGTTGAAATCAGGCATCAGAACCAAAGGTAATCAAAGAACAGCAACAAGGGTGCTAAGTGTGAGCCAATGCTGCAACAAAACCGGAGCACTTGTTCCTGTCACGTGTATCAGAGATTTGGATAAGGCTTGTTACCTTTGCAGTGTGAGGTTTGATTAAGAAACATTCCCACAGAAGAGAAGCATAAGGGGCCCTAGGAGGACACGGAGTTGTGAAAGCATTATTAGTGTCTGAACTTTTCTTTTGAAAAATCACACAACGGTTTAGCTCTCTATAAGCTCTTTGCGTTTCAATTACTGAACTGATAAAAGCAGCCAATGGAAGGAAGACAAAAGAAGAAGCCCTCAGGTTTTGCTGCACCACAAGCTGTTTGCACAACTCCAACATGATGTTCATGCAGAAACCATCTGGCTGTCTTCCATACTTTAAAAAAACATCACCCAGGACATACTTTTTCAAGGTCAGAGAAGAGAAAGGCTCAACAGCAAAACCAAATGTAACACTGATGACAGCATTCAAGGATTAAGACAAACCAAAATGGTGCCATCCTCTGAAAAGTGCTCCTCACTTTTAGTGCAACTGTTTGATTAAACTCCCCAGTACCAAAACAGAACAGGAGATGTGACCACAAGAGTAAAAGTGGGCAAAGCTACACCAATATCCTTTCGTCAAAGCAGTCTAAAACTGAATAGCACATCTGAATAGTGAGGGAACACAAAGTTTCCAAAGTCCTGCTGGCTTTCTCAGCCTCCCTACCTCCAGCTAATACTTTCTCCATTTCTTCTCTGACAACGGGGGATGTCAGGTGGATGGTCAGGGACAATGGAGGCTCTTTTGTATTTTTTATCACTATTGCAGCATCATCAACAGATTGTAGTATTTCATACTTGTCTTCTGTAACAGCCTAGAAAAAGAAAATGCAACTTTCAAAACACCTTCTCCTCAATGGAATCAACACTCTATTTAGCCCCACCGGTTACTGTTAACATACAGGCCAACTTCCTGGGGTGTGATGGGACAGCAGCCCCTTCATCTGGGGGTAAGGACCTCCCACTTGCTGGCAAGGTCTGTGGCTGCTTTCCAGTACTTCGTAGAGAGAGAGAGGTGATTTTCACAGGGACTCTCATAATGCAACATGTAAGAGGTGAGGGTCTGGGAGGAAACAAGGGTGTGAATCCTCATTTTATCAATCCGTAGTGGTGTGACTTTGGACAAGTCACTTAACCTCATTAAGAGTGTTACTTAATCTCATTAAGCGTGTGGCTCAGTGGACTGAGAGATCCCGGTTCGGTTCCCCGTCAGGGCACATGTCTAGGCTGCAAGCTCGATTCCCAGTAGGGGGCATGCAGAAGGTAGCTGATCAATGTTTCCACCTCTCTCTCTCCCTTCCTCTCTGGGGAAAAAAAAAAACAATAAAACACATTAAAAAAAAAAAAAAGATTGTTGTTTCACCTGGCCAGTGTGGTTCAGTGGTTGAGCATCGAACCATGCACCAAGAGGTCATCAGTTTGATTCCGGGTCAGGGCACACGCCCAGGTTGTGGGCCAAATCCCCAGTGCGGGGCATGTAGGAGGCGGCCAATCGATGTTCTCTCTCACTGATGTTTCTATATCTCTCTATAATATCAATAAAGGAGCCCTGGCTGATTTTTCTCAGTGGTTAGTGTTGGCCTGCGGACCAGGGAGTCCCAGGTTCAATACTGGCCAAGGCACGTACCTCATTTGCAGTTCATCCCCAGCCCCAGTTGGTGTCATATGGGTGGCAACCAACTGATGTGTCTCTCTCTCTCATCCCCTCCCACTCTGTCTGAAGATAAACGTAAAAATCGGGTGAGGATTAAAAAAATAATAATAAAGGTCAAATCAATAAAGGAAAATAAACAATTAAAAAGCCCTGGCCAGTTTGGCTCAGCGGTTAGAGCGTCGGCCTGCGGTCCGGAGAGACCCGGGTTCGGTTCTCGCTAAGGGCACGTACTTCGGTTGCAGTTTGTCACCGGCCCTGGTTGGTCGTGCGGGTGGCAGCCACTCGATGTGTCCCTTCACATCGATGTTTCTCTCTCTCTCTCCCTTCCTCTCTCTCCCTCCCACTCTATCTGTACAAAAAAATGGAAAAATATCCTCGGGTGAGGATAAAAAAAAAAAAAAAAAAAAAAGATGTTGTTTCTAGCCCTGGCCGGTGTGGCTCAGTTGGTTGGGCATTGTCCCATGCACCAAATTCCACTGATGTTCCCACTGCCCCCCAAATAAATCAATTAAAAAAAGATTATCTTTTCTAATTTGTAAAATGGTCTAGATGACATGACCTATACCACTAGGCTGCAGGAGGCTTACACTGGACCCTGCAAGGAAAGCACAGCATTCAGCCCAGAATGGGCATCTAGCTACCATCATTTCCACTGGGATGAGCAGTCATCAAGTGTATGGCATGAAAACTGTGTAGTAAAATACCTGTAGTATGTGTCATGTGGTGCATATTAAAGCATGTACTCACTGCAAGTACATGTGTCTTTTTTGTTTGTTTGTTTTATCCTCACCCGAGGACATTTTTCCATTTTTTGTTCAGGTAGAGTGGGAGGGAGAGAGAGGAAGAGAGAGAGAGAGAGAAACATCGATGCGAAAGGGACACACCGAGTGGCTGCCACCCACACAATCGACCAGGGCCGGGGACAAACCGCAACCGAGGTACGCGCCCTTAGCGGGAACCGAACCCGGGTCTCTCAGGACCGCAGGCCGACGCTCTAACCGCTGAACCAAACCGGCCAGGGCAGGTACATGTGTCTTTAAGGATGGTCACAACAGTCTGACTTCTGCTTTCTTTTTTATACCAGTCTATCTATATATGCCTTGAAGAAGGAAAATCAACCTTTTATAATTTTTAATATGGAAACAAAGTAAATATCACATGTAGGGAAGACAACACTTTGAGAAATCTAAATTGGGGTTTCTGTTCCTCGGCAGTACTGGCCTTTGGATCGGATCATTCTGGAAAGTGGGGCTGTCCTGTGCATTGTATGATGATGGGCAGCATATCTCCAGCCTCCACTCAATAGATGCCAGTAGTACTTTACTCTTCATACTGCGACAACCAAAACTGTCCCCAGAAACTGCCCTATGTTCCCTGGGGTGTGTTTGTGTGTGTGTATGCACACCCACAATTTGCTCCAATCAAAAAACACTTATCTAGAGATGAGACAGGAGAAGGAGCACAGATCTGAAGCATGAAAGTAACTCCACCCAAAGTTTCTGGCTTTGAAGAAGAAGGAATGAAGCCTGTCATGGAATGCAGCAGTGGCCCATAGGCACTGGGAATGACCCTTAGCCAACAGCCAGCAAGAAGGCAGGAAACTTAATTCTACCACTACAATAAACTGAATTCTGTTAAAAACCTGAATGAGCAGGAAACTGATTCTCCTATATAGCCTGGAGAAATGAACAGACTGTCAACATACTGATTTTGGTCCGGAGAGACCTATACAGGATTTCTGATCTCCAGAACGGAAAGATAATAAATCTGTGTTGTTTTAAGTGAAAAACAAAACAAAACAAAACAAAACCACATAATAAAAAGCTACAACCCACTAATCTAAATAAATATAAATATGCATTGTTAGTATCTTTCTCTTAAAGACCAAGTGTTTATTTTTTAATCCTCACCCGAGGATATTTTTCTTTTTTCTTTTTTGCATCTATCTTCAGATAGAGCGGGAGGGAGCGAGGGAGGAAGAGAGAGGAGAAACATCAATGTGAGAGAGACACATCTAGTGGTTGCCACCCACACGACACCAACCGGGGATGGGGACAAATGCAACCGAGGTACGTGCCCTTAACAGGAACTGAACCCAGGCCCCTCTGGACCGCGGGCCGATGCGCTAACCGCTGAGAAAAACCAGCCAGGGCGCCCGAGGATATTTTTCTATTTATCTTCAGACAGAGTGGGAGGGAGAGAGAATCATCAACATGAGACACATCGATTGGTTGCATCACATACAACCCCGACCAGGGCTGTGCATGAACCACAACGGAGGTACGTGCCCTTGGCCAGAATCGAACCTACGACTCATTGGTCCGTGGACCGATGCTCTAACCACTGAACAAAACCAGACAGGGCCCAATTATTTATTTATTTATCCCCCCCCCCCATTGATTTTAGAGAGAGAAAGGGAGAGGGAGAGAAAGATAAAAACATTGATGAGAGTGCCCAGCCAGTGTGGCTCAGTGGCTGAGCATTGACCCATGCACCAAGAAGTCGCCAGTTTGATGTTCTCCCTTGTCAATGTTTCTACTTCTGTCCCCCTCTCCCTCTCTCTAAAATCAATAAAGAAAAAAAATTTATAAAAAAACACACATTGATGAGAGAGAACATCAATTGAGCGCATCCTAAATGCCCTCCCACTGGAGATTGGGCCCACAACCTGGACATGTGTCCTAGCCAGAGATCAAACTAGCAACCACTTGGTACATGGGTCGACGCTCAACCACTGAGCTCAACACAGGCCAGACCCAACTATTTTTTTTTTTTCTTTATTGATTTTATTTTATTATTATTATTATTTTTAATCCTCACCCGAGGACATTTTCCCATTTTTTTGTTCAGGTAGAGTGGGAGGGAGAGAGAGGAAGAGAGAGAGAGAGAGAAACATCGATGTGAAAGGAACACATCGAGTGGCTGCCACCCGCACGACCGACCAGGGCCGGGGACAAACTGCAACAGAGGTACGCGCCCTTAGCGGGAACCGAACCCGGGTCTCTCAGGACCGTAGGTCGACGCTCTAACCGCTGAGCAAAACCGGCCAGGGCTTCTTTATTGATTTTAGAGAGGGAGGGAGGGACAGGGAGAGAGAGAGAGAGAAACATCGATGAGAACATCAATTGGCCACCTTATGCACCCCCTCCACTGGGGAATTTGGCCCACAACCTGGGCATGTGCCCTGACCAGCAACTGAACCGGCAACCTCTTGGTGCATGGGTCGACGCTCAACCAATGAGCCACACCAGCCGGACCCAACTATTTATTTTTTAAAATGATCCTCTGGCCTGCCTGGTTTGGCTCAACAGTTAGAGTGTTGGCCCATGGACCAATGAGCTGCGGGTTCAATTCCAGTCAAGGGCATGTACCTCAGTTGTGGCTCATCCCTGGCCCTGGTCGGGTTGTGCAGGAGAAAACCAGTCAATGTGGCTCTACCACATCAATGTTTCACTCCCTCCCTCCCTCCCTCTCTATCTGATAATAAGTAGAAAATCATACTCGGGTGAGGAATAAAAAAATATTATCTTCTGCCCTGGCCTGTGTAGTTCAGTTGGCTGGGCATCATTCCATGCACTAAAGGGTTGCTGGTATGATTCTTGGTTCTTGGTCACAGCACATGCCTAGGTTGCAGGCTCAGTCCCCGTGGGGGGCAAACAGGAGACAACTGATCTCACACTGATGTTCTGCTTTCACATCTATGTCTTTCTCTCTCTTTTCCTTCCTAAGAAATCTTAAAAAAAAAAAATCGTCACCTTGGCCGGTTTGGTCCAGCAGTTGGAGCGCTGGCCCGCAGACCAAAGACTCGCAGGTTCAATTCTGGTCAAGAGCATGCACCTCGGTTACAGTGCAGGCCCCCAGCCTTGGTCGGGTCATACAGGAAGGAGGCAACCAGTCAATGTGTCTCTCTTGCATCTGAAGATAAATGAAAAAAAAATATCCTTGGGTGAGAATTTAAAAAAAGGCTTCAGCACTGCCTCTTCTCAGAAACTGAGTACTCATTGGTTGTGGCTGAGAAGCTTTTAAAAAAAATATTGTCCTTCCTTTAGAAACATTTTCATCAGCTTAACCTTCTTCAATTGATATGCTTTTTATAGACAAAGATAAAAATAACTTAAAGTTACTTAATACTAAAACAGAAAAGCTAGGGCTTCATCTTCAATAGCTCCCTATAATTACCTACGACACTGACACTGCGTTAGCTCCACATTTCAACTCTGACCTTTGTTCTGAATCCCAAATTGTCAGTCACATGTGACAGAATGCTTGCTTGCTTGCTTTTATACAAAAGTGGATGGCCCTGGCTGGTTGGGCTCAGTGGTTAGAGCATTGGCCCTTGGACCAAAGGGTCAAGGGTTTGATTCCCAGTCAAGGGCATGTACCTGGGTTGCAGGTTCAATCCTCCACCCCAACCAGGGTCATGCAGGAGGCAACCAATTGATATGTCTCTCTCACATTCGATATTTCTTCCTCCCTTCCACTCTATCTTAAAAAAAAAAGGGGGGGGGGGGCAATAGAAAAATATCCCAGTGAGAATTAAAAAACCAAACAAGGAAAAAAAAAGTGGCCCTGGCCTGTTTGGCTCAGCGGTTGGAGTGTCGGCCGTCGGGCCAGAGTCCTGGGTTTGGTTTCTACGAGGAGTGCGTACCTCAGTTGCAGTTTGTCCCCAGCCCCGGTTGGGGTCGTGTGGGTGGCAGCCACTCGATGTGTCTCTCTAGCATCGATGTTTCTCTCTCTTCCTCCCTCTCGTTCTTGTGAGAATGAATGCAAAAGCGTCCTCGGGTAAGGATAAAAAAAAAAAGTGGATGGTGGTCTTGGCTGGTGTGGCTCAGTTGGAGCACTGTCCTGTACATCAAAAGGTTGCAGGTTCAATCTCCAATCAGGGTGTGAACCTAAGGTCAACCAACTGATGTTCTCTTTCACATTGATCCCAACCCAGTAAGCACATTCTCCAGTGAGAATTAAAAAACAAAAAAATAAGCCAATGGTATTTCTAAAGAATGAGATTTTTCACTTTTGTTCTTACTCATGTCCTCACTAAATCCAGGATGACTGCCTCCTTTAAGGAGGCAGCAGGTTGCAGTGAGGTGTGGAGGTTCTGAAGTCCCAGAGTTCACCAGCTGGGGGTTCTGGTGTCAGTTACTCTTCCCAAATACCATTATGAAGATGAAATGAAAAATGTTAAAAGCATGCCTGGCTCTGGCCAGGTGGCTCAGCTGGTTGGAACACCATCCTGTACATCAAAACATTGCAGGATCGTTTCCCAATCAGAGCATATACCTAGGTTGTGGGTTCAAACCCCATCTGAATGCATGCAGGATGCAAATAATTGATGTTTCTCTCTCTCTAAAAATCATAACATGTTCTCAGATAAGGATTAAGGAGAAAAAACAAACCATAAAAACACACCTGGCCTAGGATCTGATGTAGTAAATGCTCAAGAAATGCCACAGGCAATTATTTATGCAATACTCATGTAACAAGACAAATAAACTGGTTTTTAAACAGATTTTGGTGCCCAGCTGCTGTGGCTGTGGATTGAGCGTCGTCCCATGGACTGAGAGGTCCTGGTTTGGTTCTCAGGGCACATGCCTAGGTTTTGGGCTTGTTTCCCAGAAGGGGGTTTGTAGGAGGCAACCAATGGATGTTTCTCTCTCACATTGATGTTTCTATCTCTGTCCTGTCCTCTCTCTAAAAAAAAAAAAGCCAGTAAAAACATATTTTAAGTTTTTGGTGATACCTAGGTTTAGATTAGAAGAGAAGCGTTAAATTTTCTATTCATCTATCCACCCGCCCACCTATCCAATGGAGTCTTTTTGTGAAGTCCAAGACTAGTGAGGCCCTAGAACAGCATAGCCTGATGTATAGTAGATGCTGGGTCTTTCCTCAAAGCCACAATGTCCGGACACCACTGCAGTCACCCAGCCACTGTCCAGAGACCCTAAGTGGCTCTGTGGCATCCTCTATTGAGCTAGTTTAAGTATAAGAGTGGGCTTAGAGTCTGTCTTTTGGCATACGGCACAGTTGGGCATCTTTTCCTCTATCTCACAAGGGTCCTCAACAGCAGCCCCAGCCCCACCCAGTGAAGGTGGTCACACTCACAGTGAGCTGAATGGCCAGGTTGTCAGCCACCTTGTCCAGGAGGGCAGTTGTGGGCTTTTCTTTGCATAGCAGCACCAGCTCCAGGTCCAAGTCCCCCTTGAGAAGCAGGCCTTTTGCCACAAGGCCAACACGCATCACGCCCCGCAGGGTTCTGGTCATATGCTCTGTCTTCTGTTCCCTGAAAGACAGATCAGTGCATGCTATGTAAGGAATTCAGTCTGGCCAGAACCCAGAAAGGCTGGAGTTTCTTAATAAAATGCTCAGCTCTAGACTAGTCAGTCTCCTTAGAAAGGGGGGAAAAAACAAACCCACAAAACTTCAAACTTACCCAGCCCCTTCTTTGGTCTCGTCCTCCGGGGGCATGTCCAAATTCTCGGACTCAGCATGCTCGCCGCTGCCTTTCTCCTGCTCATCGATCCAGTCGGACACAGCTTTGAGAGCCCGCTCTGTATGGGACACCATGTTCTGGACTGCCTCCAGTTCCTCTTGGGTTGGATAAACGGAAGAATGCTTTGCCATCACATGGCGATCATCATTCACAAAAATTCGCAATGGACGCTGGAAATGTGAAAACTCAGTTAAAAATAATGTGAAGAGACCAAGCAATCCACCACTTACCTTCTAGGCTGCATAACTCATAACTATGCTTTATCATTTGTATGAAAATAAGACAACAGTAGTCACCCCTTATCCGCGGAGGATACATTCCAAGACCCTCAGTGGATGTCTGAAATTGCGGATAGTACTGAACCCTCTATATACTGTTTTGTTTTTTTCCCTATGCATATATACCTATAATAAAGCTTAATTTATAAATCTAGCATAGTAAGAAATTAACAACTAATAGAATAATTATAATATAAGTTATGTAAATGTGGTATTTTTCTCTCAAAATATTTCATTGTACTGTACTCACCCTTCCTTGTCTTCTTGTGATGTGATGAAGACACAACGCCTACGTGATGAGATGAAGTGAGGTGAATTGTAATTGTTTATTTCTGGGAATTTTCCATATAATATTTTTGGACTGCGGTTGACAAAGGGGTAACTAAAACCGCGGAAAGCAAAGCCGAGGATGGGGGGACTACTGTATAGGGGTGGGCAGAAGTAGGTTTATAGTTGTAATACACATAAATAATACAATAATTAATAATTACACAAGAATAAACTTTCCCAGAAAACTGTAAACCTACTTTTGTCCACCCCTGTATATGAACACTTGGAAAAGGACAACTAAACATAACTAAGTTGTTCTTTCTCTAGACAGTGAAGGTAAAGGGCACTTACTTTGTACATTTTTATATTATTTGAATTGTTATACTATGTAGTATAATTCAAGAAGTCTAATAAAAAATATAATCAAATATTTTGAGGCAATACTATAAACATATCTGTACACAAATAAAGAAATAGTACCTATGATTAAAAAAAAACTTTCTTACCATTGTTACTTCTTTTTCTGTAGTGTCTGGAAATCAAATTATGCTTATCTTTCAAATTGTGACAGATTTCCTTGGTGTTATCAATACTTCAGCTATCTATAAGATCAGAAAATCTTTTTAGTTTCGAATATTTCATAGATGAGTGAATTTTAGCAGCAAGACAACAGTGGGGCCTCATTAAGAAGTTCTGTTAACACAGCATGACACATCTTTATTTCCAAGTAATAAGCCACTGATAAGCCAAAGTACAAACAACTAATTATAAATTTCCCTAAAAATGAAAACAGCTAGTTTCTAATAGCCAAGTCTCACTTCAAGCCCACACTCAACTGATCTTTACTTTTTCTATCTTCTTTCATCGTTTCTTATACCAAGTATGCCAGTTTTTACAAATATAAAACATTTCAGCATCATCATGGTGTATGAAAAAGGGAAAAAAGGGGCTCTAGTCCTTAAGGGCAATGAAGAGATGGAAAAAGCAGGAGACACAGGGTTCCAAAAGGATCCAATAAACTAGAAAGGCAAGAACCTTCTACAACATCAGGTAGATGTGACCACTGCACCACATGGACACACCTGTGGGTTCATCTTCGGAGAGGCAGAGAAACCCAAAACACACAACAAAAGTCTTCAGGACAAACATGGCTAAAATCACAATTTTGGACACTAACTAACATGATGACTAAACCTACTCAACTCCCACTCTGTGTCAACAGTCTAGTCCACACTGAAACCTCCTAAACAAGCAAACAACAACAACAACAACAACAAAAAAAAAACCTGCCAGCACAATATGGAACAGAGGCATACTCCCATTGCATGCAACCACCTAATAGCTAGCTCCATCAATCTAAGTCATCACCAGCCAGGGCAGCAGGCTCATTCTGGAAAGGAACCCACTTTTAGGATAAACATTGACATGACTGGCAAAAACAAGAATCCCCACACTTCAGGACTACCTAAGCAATTGAATTGAAAATTTAAACGTTCTTCCCTGGCTGGTGTGACTCAGGTGGTTAGAGCGTTGTCCGGTCCCAAGCACCAAAGGGTCATAGGTTTGATTCTCAGTCTGGGCACATATCTGGGTTGCAGGGTACAGGAGGCAACTAATCGAAGTTTCTCTCTTTCTCTAAAGTTTTTTTTTTTTTTTTATCATCACCCGAGGACATTTTCCATTTTTTGTTCAGATAGAGTGGGAGGGAGGGAGAGAAAGAGAGAGAGAAACATCGACGTGAAAGGGATACACTGAGTGGCCGCCTCCTACACGACCCAACCAGGACCGGGGACAAACCACAACCGAGATACGTGCCCTTAGTGGGACCTGAACCCAGACCACAGGCCGACACTCTAACTGCTGAGCCAAACCGGCCAGGGCTAAAGTACATTTTTTAAAAGGAGAAAATCTAAACTGACACTATTAAAAATAATTTTTTTTAAGTTCCAAAGTACTTTAAATCTAAGGCTAGAATGGAAAGCAATGGATCTGCAACACCAGGAAAGAAAACAGGTCACGGGCTTCATGGTAAAGAATGAACAGGGACAAGAGGAGTGGAGGACTAGTCCTTGGGATCAGCTGCCAGATGTGCAGGGGCCCTGGATGAGCCACTCAGTTATCACCAAGTGGGAGCTTCTGCACAGACTCAGGCCCGAACCCTGCTTGCCCAGCCACTAACTGTGTGGTCTTGAGGTTTCTTTGGAGCTTCCTTCTATATCTGCGACACAGAAGCAGCCCTCTCCAACTGCAGGAGGATTGTGAAAAGTGAACAAGTCAACCTAAGGAAAGCATGAAGCTGGATCTGTATCACCAGGCTGCTGCAGAGGCTTATTGCTAAGTAACATGCATGCAAAAATCCTGTAATAAGGAATTACCACTATTCAGTAAGGGAAAAATTATATTGTGGTTGTATTTGAAAAGAATGTCTCATTACACATTTAAGAAAAAAATTGGGGGGGGAGGTGGTACATGCCCCTACCGGGAACCGAACCCGGAACTCTCTGGTCCGCAGGCCTACGTTCCAACCACTGAGAAAAACCGGCCAGGGCACATTTGTGAAAATGTTATGGTTGAAAGTACATGCCTGATATTTGTCTTAAATATTTCAGTGAGAGGGGGTCAATGGGGAAAAAAGGGGGTACATCTGTAATACATTCAACAATAAAAGTGAGTTAAAAACATATTTCAGCCCTGGCCAGTTTGGCTTAGCGGTTAGAGTGTTGGCCCACAGACCAGAGAGTCCTGAATTCGGTTCCCATTAAAGGCATGTACCTTGGTTGCAGTTTGTCCCCGGACCCAGTTGGGGTCATGTGGGTGGCAACCAGTCGATGTTTCTCTCTCTCCCTTCCTCCCTCTCTCCTTCCCACTCTATCTGAGGATAAGTGCAAAAATGCCATCGGGTGAGAATAAAAAAGAAAAAAATATTTCAGTGAGGCAGAGAACAGAGAAAGAGGAAACAAGACTGATAAATGTTGATAGCTAGTGAAGCCGGGGGATGGGTATACTGGAATTAATTTGTGCTCGTTTGAAATTTTCCACATTTTTTTTTTAATGCATAGTCAATTTAAGCAGTCTTACAAAAGCGTAGCCATGGAAGGTAATGTAAAAATAAAACCAAAACCCTGAAAACCAATTCTAAATTGACAAGAAACAAACCATCAGAAACCACGGCTTAATGGTGAGGACCCATGTTAAACAGCCACCAGTCCTGGCATTATATCTATGCTGGAACCTCATCAATTTGATAACGAAGGCTGATGTTTAAAAGCGTATTTATTTATTCAACATGTATTCAGTGTGCACCTCTTTTTGTGCCAGGCCATGGGCTAGCTGCTGGGACAGTGTGGGACATAACCCACAAGTCCCATTCCCTTGGACCTGGCCAGCTAGTACAACCTGAGGGGCAAACTCCTTCCCTCTGAGCCCAACAAGGTGCAGGAGCAAATGCTTCACTGTACACCTACCACCTATTCATCTCCTCTACCACAAATATCAAATGTAGAGACTTTAAAAATAACACAGCTTTTTAACCAAGGTTCCAGGTGGCTCAGACCTTTTGAGGATTGAGACTGTCTAAAACCCACTAAAAGGAGATCCTGGGAGAAGTGGCTGATTCAGCACCTAATATAGGAATTGTACTGGGTCACAATGGGCCTGGGTCACAATGAAGTGTCAGAAAGCAAGAAAGAGCTCAGAGACTGATGCCAGCTTGTCCAAAGGGTAAGAAGTTGACTTGTGAGGGCCCCTATCGGCTATATTTGGGGCAACTGAATATCAAAAAATAAGTATGTAGCCATGGACAGTTTGGCTCAGCAGTTAAGAGCAACGGCCCGGTGTGGCTCAGTGGATTAAGCATCGTCCCATGAACTGAGAGGTCTCAGTTCAATTCCTGATCAGGGTTTCGGGGTCGATCCCCAGTAAGGGGCGTACAGGAGGCAGCCGATCGACGTTTCTCTCACATTGATGTTTCCTTCTATTTTTCCCTTCCTCTCTCTCTAAAAAAAAATCAATAAAAGGCACACTTAAAACATGATAATAATAATTTGCCACCATGGAAGATGTCTACATTCCAACTCAATACTCTGAAAATTGTTAAAAAATATACTGTAATTTCACCCACAGTTGATGCTAAAAACTACTAAAAATGTTATGTGACAAAGGTAAGCGGCCTAAAACTCCCTTTTTCCCACTGGGGAACAAGATATTCATCGTGTCAAAATGTGAGCCCATGCGCCCTGGCCGGTTTGGTTCAGCAGTTAGAGCATCGGCCTGAGGTCCAGAGAGACCCGGGTTCGGTTCCCGCTAAGGGCACGTACCGCGGTTGCAGTTTGTCCCTGGCCCTGGTTGGTCATGCGGGTGGCAGCCACTCGATGTGTCCCTTTCACATCGATGGTTTTCTCTCTCTCTCTCTCTCTTCCTCCCACTCTATCTGAACAAAAAATGGAAAAATGTCCTCAGGTAAGGATTAAAAAAAAAAACGAGCCCATGGAAAGTACTTCCTGACAGCCACATGCCCTCAAATGCACCCCCTCTTGAGCAAATGGCCTACACAAAGGTTCCCATCTGCTATTTTCTTTTTTTTTTTTTTTTTTTTTTTTATCCTCACCCGAGGACATTTTTTGTTCAGGTAGAGTGGGAGGGAGAGAGAGGAACAGAGAGAGAGAGAGAAACATCGATGTGAAAGAAACACATCGAGTGGCTGCCACCCGCACAACCGACCAGGGCCGGGGACAAACTGCAACCGAGGTATGCGCCCTTAGCGGGAACCGAACCCGGGTCTCTCAGGACCGCAGGCCGACGCTCTAACCGCTGAGCCAAACCGGCCAGGGCTCCATCTGCTATTTTCACCTGATGGTTTAAAACTAGGAACCTGGCCCTGGCCAGTTTTGCTCAGTGGTTAGAGCATCGGCCCTCAGACCAATGAGTCTCGGGTTTGATTCTGATTAAGGGCACGTACTTGAGTTATGGTTCGTCCCCAGCCCTGGTCATGGTCATGCAGGAGGTAACTAGTCGATGTTTCTCTCTCTCTCTCCCACTCTATCTGAAGATAAACAGAAAAATATCCTTGGGTGAGGATTAAAAAAATCAAAACAACTCCGGAACCTGGCTGTGCATCTGCTCCAACAGGCTGCCTCACTTGATTCTCATCAGCTCTGAGAGGCAGGTCCCAGAAGGGATCCTGTGGAGGTTCACTGGGCTGTGGCTGACTCTGCCCACCAAACTTGGCCCATATGCAGTCCATTCATCCTGGGCCCTCCTCCTTTAGACCAGGCCTTGCTGGTGATGCCTCCTGATTCAGGTGGACAAAGTGAGTAAGAGTACTAATTATCTGAACTAAAACAAATTTAAAAACTGTAGTCAACACTCCTTTGAAGGGGGAAAAAACTGGCCTTGCTTGTCTCAATGGAAGCCCAGATCTGTCACCTGTCCCAGCCTCTCAGAAGCCAGAATCTGGTCTTGAATATCAGGGAATTCATCTCATTAATGGACACAAGGGTCTTCCAGATGAGCAAAAACATTTTCAAAATTTTTAGTGAGGAACAGTGCTACCAAGAAGACCATAACACCCACTTACATGCAACACTCCATTGCCCCCTACCAA